CATTAAAACATAAGGCGAATTGCTATTATAGCCGGTCTCTTGACGAAGAATTTCTCTTTCTTCTTCCATTGCCGTACAGTAGAACATGTAGTGTATAAAATCGAGACTAAATTCACCGTTGCATAAGGTGCATTTTATGGTCTTAGTTTTCAATAGTGAAACATGATTAATTCTCTGTACTACAAAAAGGCTTCTTACTTGTACAATGATTCTCTTTAAGGTAAACATATTATACAAGAAAATAATTAAAGTAAAAAAGAGAAGCAATAATATATATTAGGAACCTGAACTTTTCAGGTTAGAAAGATAATCACAAATATATTTACAAAAATAGTTAAACCTATGATAATTCTCTCTGCTATTTACAAATTGATATAGATCTACAACATTGTCTAGCGGTGAAGAAGAGTGGGCATATCAGCATTAGTATATTACTTATTAAATCCATTTTTTTAAACTTTAAAATGGGTATCTTAAAAAGTTTTCTATCAAATATCTTTTATTTTGTTTAAACAACACCATGAAGTCTTCTATACGGTACACTGTGGTATCTTCTGGTAGAGAACACTAATTAGAATCCTCAATTAGATTAATTAAATCTCCGAGGTTTCTTTATTATAATATTAACGAGTTTACTATAGTACTTAGAGATAGTTTCCATCATTCATGGTACCATAATTTATATTTTTGCTATACTCTGTACACACTTCCCTCTTTTTGTTTATCTTTTGTTTTATCACTTCATAGTTTGTTATTGTCTTAAAATAAATTGTTGTCTCATCCCGAAATTGGTCTTCCTTAATTTTCCACATGGCAATATATAAATGGTTAAAATTTGTTAATTACAATCACAATTATTTTATTTCCAAAACGCTATATCCCGCAAGGGATACTTGTGCCAAACAAGGAGAAAAGTTTATTTACATAAGTTATTTACATTATTCAACGCATGAAAACATTAGAGATCCAGATTTTGTAAAAAGTTTAGAATGTATTTACAAATGAATTGAACTTTAAATATGATTTTTTATCGGAAATCAAATCGTTCACAAACAAATTGTTCATTCTATTCATTAATGATAGGCGTATCTTAGATAATGCATACCCTCCAACTAAACAGAAGGAAGTCGACACAGTTGGCCAGATGGAAATCTGGTCACCTTCGCCCTCTAGTCTATAAAGAGGGAGCCAAAAGCTTCCCCATGTGCACTAAGTGCAAAACCGAAGAGGCCACTCCCCAACATATACTAAATTGTATTGGAAAGGACAAAGGATTCCTGTACAGAGAACCAAGAAGAGTTCTTGAACTTCTTTATGAGCATGACTTCCAAGATCTTGTCTAATTTGGACTAATAAAAGGATAAGTAAAAAAAAAAAAAACTATAGTACTAGTAATAAAGGACACTTATAGCGACAATCTTGGTGATATCTGTTGGACCTCCTAGTGCAGCTCTACAGAAGAGAAATTTAGCTCAGTCAAGCCCCGGAGCAAGGGACGATATAGGCATAGATGTCCTTGCATCCTCTAAATTGACTCTGCGTCATTATCAATTATAATTGAACTTAATATCACTCTGGGATGAGAAAAACCCATCAATCCGGCTCTATGAATCCACATGAGGGTGTGTCAAATGTCTACCTCAGCAACGGTTCACTTTATTTAAAATATTACATAAATATGTATTTACATATTATAAATGTTGGATTATTACACAGAGTAACAATGTATATAGATGAGCTCCTGTTTAAAAAGGAACTTTTATGTATTTTATATTAATTGTTTTTATTGTGTTTTCACGTATAGACATATATACCAAGATTTGTTTTGTATAATTGATATTAATAATAAATAATATGTAAATTGGTTACAGATTCATCCCTCTTATTTCTTTAATTACATAATAATAAAATCAATACATATATAGGGATAAAAAGGAAAGAAAGAAAAAAGGAAAAAAAAGTTAAATGAGGTTAATATACAACAACAACAACAAAATCTTTATTAAGACCTTTTAGTCTTATACAGATTCTCCAAGCATAAATATAGGATACATGCAGGAAAAACAGTGATAGAACTTAATGGTAACATGATATTTATATACAGTCAAAATTATATAAAAACAATCAAGCTAATAGATTAATCTGGGCAAATTGGAGGCAAAGAAAGTTACTATACATGGAATTTACCACGGATTCTCGTGTTAGGTCTTGTGGAGTTATTTCTGTGACTTTCTTAGCTATGTAGAACTTTTCCTAGTCATCATCCCCGCCCTTGACATTGCCGGTTGGACTTCACTTGTAAGCATTTCGACCTGTGAGTCAATTGTGGAGTCTTCCATTAGTAAATTAGTTGAATCCCTCAAGCTGCTTTTGTAAGATGTAGCCTAAATGAGGATAATATATAGGAAAATATATATAACCAAATTAATTAATTAAAACAAATAAATCAATAAATAATAGATAAAACAAAGAATTACTTTTAAAATTACAAAATATTTTCTCACAATTGAGTTTCTTTTTATTACAAAACGCTAGCTTTCAAGCGATAATCTGTTGTATATATATTAATTAATTGTTCCACAGAGAGTGTATGTAGGCTCACAGGTAAATAGGCGCTAACCGAAACAAAAAAAAAGGTTCCTTTGTTTAATATTAGTTTCCCTTTTATATTTTGTTCTCTCTCTTGTAAATCAATAATTATAATGTTTAATTAATAATTATTGGAATCAGTTTCATTAAAAATTCTAAGAAAAGTCAACATATAATCGCTCTTCAACTGGGTTAATTAAAAGATGGTTCAAATCACATTAATAGGTACCGCTCAGCAAGAGCAACCTAGTTCATGATAATTGAAACAGTGAATAATATGTGAAGGTTATTCATATATTAAACAAAATGTTAACGCGGGATTCAATCCCGGTTCATGACTGTCGGGAATCGAGGGTGTTACCCACTCAACAACAACAACAACAAAAAGCCTTTATTCAGGGTCACTGACCCTATACAGGATTCACCAGAGGTATGCATAAGAACAAAGCAGTGAGACAAAGGAAATAACGATATATACAGAAGAAAAAGAAAAAAACAAGAAAGAGAAAGAGGGAAGCAAGAAAAACAACACAAAAAGAGTAGCAGTAAGAAAGTGAGGAGTGAGTGTCACTTGGCCTTCTTCTGAGATATGGACTTGTGGAAACCATAAAACACCGTAGCAATATACTTATTCTGGGTCATATTGTCAATTATTGATGGAAGTGAAGCACAGAGTTGCCCAGTTTTGAGGGTGTTACCCACTCATCCACCGACTTATTGTTAATTAAAAAACATCGACTATATCCTACAAGAAATATTTACAAAAAGTTGAAGAGCGATTATCACTTGAAAGCTAGCGTTTTTTAATAAAAAGAAACACATTGTGAGAAAATATTTTGTAATTTGTAAATGTTTTTCACAATTTCATCACGAATAAATAATTTGTTTAATTAAAAATGAGATAAATTTAAAAAGAAAATTTAAGGAAAAAACGAAAGAAAAGGAAAAAAGTATATTAAATATTCAGACTTTTTTTTTTTAATTTAAAAACATTTTTAATCAATTAAATAAACCAAAAGATAATCAATGTGAAAAATAATACAAATGTGATATTGTACTGGGATAAGGTGCAAAAATTATGAAAAAAAAAGGCATCTCCTTGCAACCGAAAGTTGCTGATGGCTTGCGCCATCTATCGGAATAAATATCAATTTATTCTTGTTGATTTTTAATTATTCCAGAATTGACCAAATACCCATTCTTGATTAATAAAGAATCCGGATGTGGTTAGCTTTTCTTGATTAATCAAGAATGGGTATTTGGTCAATTCTGGAATAATTAAAAAAAATCAACGAGAATAGTTGATATTTATTCCGATAGATGGCGCAAGCCATCAGCAACTTTCAGTTTCACGATAAGGAGATGCCTTTTTTCATAAAAAGATGATCAATTAAAACAAATTTCAAACATGTTTCTGTAATAATTCTATAGTGTTTTTGACAAAATTATTCCAAGTCAAATTTATAAGTAGAAATTATATGTGGAAGATTGGGATTTGTTTTGTACAGAAAAAGGTGCGGATTTGATTTAAATATTATAAACATTCAAATAATAAGTGAGAATGACTGATATTGTTCTGGTTACAATGGCATGGAGAATGTATCTTAAATATTACAAAATATGAAGGAAAGGGTCCATGGTCAGTTTAAAAAAAAAATTATCTAAGATACGCCTATCATTAATGAATAGAATGAACAATTTGTTTGTGAACTTAACGATTTGATTTCCGATAAAAAAAATCATATTTAAAGTTCAATTCATTTTGTAACTACATTCTAAACTTTCTACAAAATCTGGATCTCTAATGTTTTCATGCGGTGAATAATGTAAATAACTTATGTAAATAAACTTTTCTCCTTGTTTGGCGTAAGTATCCCTTGCGGGATATAGCGCTTTGGAAATAAAATTAATTGTAATTGTAATTAACAAATTTTAACCATTTATATATTGCCAAGTGGAAAATTAGAGAAAACCAAATTCGGGATGAGACAACAATTTATTTTAAGACAATAACAAACTTTTTGTTTTTTTTGCTTATCCCTAGTACACGTGGTACAGGCCATGATTAATGTGTGTCTCATTGATTTGTTATAATATACCTTGAAAAGAGGTTAGCGTTCTGCCAACTAAAATATTGGCAAATAAATCTTTTATTTTATTTATTTTTATTTTATTTTTATTTTTTGCTTATTCCCTAGTACACGTGGTACAGGCCATGATAATCATGGTGGGTAGTTAGCGACTGCTTTTTTACTGTAAGCGCACCACATATCTACACATGTGAAAAGCAGTTCGACTTTGCACTTACAAATGCCAGAGCCCCGTTTGGTTACTTGCACTCGCTGGTGGGGGTTGGACTTTTGCAAGAATCGAGGGCCATTGGAGCATTTTTTTTTTTTAACAGAAAAAAGTGTCCAATGCGGGAATCGAACCCGGGTCCTAGTGGTCTAAAACCAAACGGTGTAACCAGCCTTCGTAAACAAACTATGAAGTGATAAAACAAAAGATAAGCAAAAAGAGGGAAGTGTGTGTGTGTGTACAGAGTATAGCAAAATATAAACATAAAAAAATAATATTGAAGAAGGAACAAAAGTTTACGGCAACGAATTTCTTTTATTAATGCTGTAAATTCGGCAAGCTTTCAGACTTTGACGTCCTTCGACAGGCAACTTTACAAGAAACTAGAAGACAATCTATATACATATACACGTAAAAGTTTACATAATTAGAACTTTTCTTAATGAAATAAATGATTTATAAATTTAATAGCCATCTATCGTTAAAATTTTGCACAAATAATTTACTACCAATGCGTTTCTTTTAAATATTATCAAATATTATCTCTACAGACCTTACTGCAATGATATGAGACTCTGAGAGGGTTCACTACTGATGAGCCAAGCCCTCTCATTCAATAACTCATATTATTGCAGTAAGGTCTGTAGAGATAATTTTTGATGATATTTAAAAGAAACGCATTGCCAGTAAATTTATTTGCGTAAAATAAATGATTATTATACCAAAAAAAAACCTTTTCTTTTTATCTATGTAAATAAATTTGTTCTGAGAAAAGGATAGCTGCCATAGGATTCAGGGAAATAATACTCTGCTAATAATAAATACTTTTTTACAATATAACTCCCAACCAATGGCAGATTAGACCTCCTAGTGCATCTCTACAGTCGCCATCTCGAGCGGACAGATCATATTACCGATACAGCAACCTTTGCCACCCTTCCTGGGAACTTTGTTGGGAAACCCGCAGCAAGAGTGGTGGGTTTTCCCTTTAACTTTGAACAGAACTGGGTGTACATTACCACTACACATCTCTGCACATTAAACTTTAGAAGAGTTGGGGATTACCTGAGAGGCGATTCGTTTTTGCGAAAAAGAGATTTAGACATTCCTTTACGACTATATAAATACAAGGTGTGTCCAATAAATAATGAGGACTGGTCAAAAATAAAGAAAAAATAGAATGATTAAAAAAATTATTAGAATTTTTTAAAAAATAGTTCCCTCCCGCATCTATACATAATTTCCATCTCTTCTCCCATGATTTAAAACATTTAGAAAATGCATCTTTCGGGATGTTCTTCAAGACCTTTTTCGAATCCGCTATGATGGACTCTCTAGTATCAAATCTCCTTCATTTTAGAGCCATTTTGAGTTTTGGAAAGAGAAAAAAATCATTTGGAGCTAGGTCTGGGGAATAGGGAGGTTTTTTTTTTGGAAGTATTTGGATGCCGTGTTTAGCCAAATAAGTCAATGCAGATGTAGCGGTGTGTGGTGGTGCATTATCATGATGGATGATCCAATTTTTGGAACTCCACATTTCACTTCTTTTCAGACGAATTGATTCACGTACACGTCTCATAATGTTGAAATAAGACTCCTTATTGATTGTTTGACCTTCCTCTAGATATTCATAATGCACAATTCCCTTTATGTCAAAGAACGTGACCAATAAAACTTTGTTTTTTGACTTGCAAAGTCGGGATTTCTTCGTTCTTGGTTCATATTTTCCTTTCCACTCCATGGATTGGCGTTTTGTTTCCGGATCATACCCGTAAACCCATGTCTCGTCTCCAGTTATTACTTTTTCTTCCAATTAGGGTTTTCTTCCACCATTTCAAGCATTTTTTTGGCAACTTCAACGTGATTCTCCTTTTGTTGGATTGTGAGCATTTTAGGGACAAATTTTGAAGGTGTCTTCTTTAATTGCAAGTCTTCTTTAATTATCGATCCAACTAATGATTTTGATATCCCTGTTTCTTCCTCAATGTCCTTTACCTTATTCGTGGATTTTCTTTTATCAAATTTGAAATTTGGCTCACCTTTTCAGGGTTCCTGTTCAGAATTGGACGTCCAACACGCTTCTCAACTTTCACCGATTCCATTCCATTTTTAAATCGTGAAAACCATCTGAATGTGGTGGGCTTATTTACATTTTCATTTCCAAATGCCAATTTCAACAAATCTAAAGTTTCTGAAGCCGATTTCCCAATTTCGTTGTTCGAATTTTCTATCCATTACAAATTCGAAGTTGTTATGCAAGGCGTTCTTTTTATAAGCTTACAATTTATCGACTGCGCGCGCAATCACGTGATGTGATATACCGCAGTGTAGCTGAAGCTTTCTATTTTTTTAAATAGACTTAAAAAAAAAATATCATTTCATTATTTCTTTGTTTTTGACCGGTCTCATTATTTATTGGACACACCTTGTATATAACCTTAGGTTTGTTCCATAATTTCAGATTATAAGAAGTTTGTTAGAGGTTTGTTCCATAATATTTGGCTAACCAATTTTCTTGATAAATCAAGAAATCCCAACCATGTACGCGTTTCGGGCTGTTGTCCCTCTTTAACGTAGTGCAGGCTGTACTTCAATGACCAAAAATTGTTGGAATTCATTTTTAATAAGAGAGATAGATGTCTCCTTTGGTACATAAACCTCTCGTAATATTATTCTGTTTATATATATGTCATAATATATGCTCTTACAGGAATAATAAAGTAAATCTGCAGTCGACCAGAGAGAGAGAGAGACGTAGTCGATAGAAGACAACTAACTCACGACCATTTTGACCACATTCCTGAGGGGGGGGGGCGTCACCACCTGGCGACTATCCCGGTTGTGTACACAGGAAAAACAGTCGTTCAGCTGATAACGTCTCGCTCGCTCTCTCGGCTGGCTGCCTGGATGATTGCTCTAACAACTCGTCGTGTGATTATTTCTCTCCTCACCACATTTACCACTATATTGCCACATTGAAAGTCGACAGGATCATATCACAGAAGAGTCGACAGGATCATATCACATATATATTTCAAAAAGAGGCACCTCTCCCTTTAAAACAATGTATTTTGGTTTATCACCCTAGTATAGAACGTTAAGGTGATGATAAAGAATGATCCACAACACCAGTTTTGTCAAATTCAGATAGAAACCAACAATTTGGTTTCGGATTATGGTCTTCATCAGTACAGAGGAGTCTTCGATTTCCATAACCTCCTACGAGGGGAGTTGGAATCGGTCAAATTCGCCAAAAAGGTGTTTAAGTTGGCTTAGTAGCAAGGGCCGTTTTATATAAGACCAGACATAAAGTTACGGGAGGATAATATATAAATTAAACGCGAAGCATTATTCTACTGTCCTAAAAACTTATGTGCATAGTTTCTTAAATACCAGAATTAAAATATAAGGTTTTCCAAAAGTTCGTAAACATATAATGCTTATGAAAATTAGAAACTATTATAGACGCGTATGATTCTTTTGAAAATTAAAACAATTATCTACTTCCCTTACTGCAATGAAAAAAATTAATGGGTGGGCCTGGCTCATCAGTGGTGAACCCTTCCAGCGGTTTCGCCAATTGGGAGGGTTCACCACTGATGAGCCAGGACCTCCCATTAATTTTTCCATTGCAGTAAGGGCAGTAGAAATTGTTTAATTTAAAAAATAATCATACGCGTCTATAATAGTTTCTTATTTTCATAATCATAATGGCGCGCTAATGCATCATAATATTATGATATATACAGTTACGAGCGTCATTCCTCATCTCGTAATCAACAATCAGTCATCAGTTTTCATCTCTGTCACCGTTTGCTTTTTTTTTTTTTGGAATGGCGCACTCCTATTGGTTGGCTACGGTCACGCCACCTTTGCCACCCCCCCACTCGCCTTTTCGTTTATGTAATTATTGTGTTGGAGCGGATCGCTCCTTAAATAAATGCATATATTAGTTAATAACCAAATGGAATCCTCTCTTTCTTTTTCCCAGTAAGAGACGCCTACGGAAGCCAACAGTACATAGACAGATAAAGCACATAGGCTATAGTTATTAACTAACATATGCATTTATTTAAGGCGCCAATTTATAATTGTAACAAATAGTATTTGAATCAAAACATTCAATCGGGGGTAAAACACGGGCGTTGTCCGGGTCATTCGGCTAGTGATATATATTTTGCAAGTGTTTACGAACTTTTGAGACGACCTTGTAATTATGAAACTTGGCTCATCTGCTGATTGGCCATTCTTGATATAGAACATCAGAGATCATTCTTCTATAAGAATTCTGTTATAATTTTACCAAAGTTACCAATATTACCAAGGTTGTCCCAAAAGTTCGTAAATTCTTGCAAAATATAAATTATAATATTTTAACGAACTTTTGGAACAACCATGTACTACCCTTTAGTGTAGCATATATAAGCAGAATTGTCCAATACAGTATTGGAGTTTAAAAAGCGGTCTAGTGGATTAAATTTTGGCGAAACCGCTGGGAGAGTTTCCCACTTATAAGCAGATAAAAAAAAAAACGTCGATGGACGAGTGGGTAACACCCTCGATTCCCGACAGTCATGAACCGGGATTGAATCCCGTGTTAACCTTTTGTTTAATATGTGAATAACTATTTAATGGTCTAAACAATATAAAGGCAAAATATGATACAAAGTTTCGTTCTGTTGGCAAGTATTCCTGGGCAGCTGACAAGGCTACATCTTACAAAAGCAGCTTGAGGGATTCAACTAATTTACTAATGGAAGACTCCACAATTGACTCACAGGTCGAAATGCTTACAAGTGAAGTCCAACCGGCAATGTCAAGGGCGAGGAAGATGACTAGGAGGAGTTCTACATAGCTAAGTCTCAGAGCTGCTACCAAATAACTCCACAAGACCTAACACGACGTGGTAAATCCATGTATAGTAACTTTCTTTGCCTCCAATTTGCCCAAATTAATCTTTTAACTTGATAGTCTTTATATAATTTTCCCTGTATATAAATATCATGTCACCATTAAGTTATATCACTGTTTTTCCTTCATGTATCTTATATTTCTGCTTGGAGAATCTGTATAAGACTAAAAGGTCTTAATAAAGCTTTGTTGTTGTAATATATGAATAACCATCACATATTATTCATTGTTTCAATTATCATAAACTAGGTTGATATTTTTGAGCGGTACCTAATA